TCACCACGGGTAACTGCTTGGTTGGCAACTCTTCTACAATTTCTGGTTCTACTTCTATTTGCTCATCCTCAGGACTCACTGGCTCCTGTTCAGATGGCAATTCCTCATGTCTAACTGTTTTTCTCGAAGGTTTCAGAGTGATATTCAATGCCGGCTGAATTTCTATTGGTGCTTCCTCAATCTTCACGGGATCCTGTGATAATGACAGTTTCTCAATAACTCTTTGTTCTTTTTTTTTGGTTTTCGGAATTTTTTTAGACTTCCCGAGTCCCATTTTTTTATTTACTTCCTCAATCTTCACTATTACCTCCATGTGACAATAACATTCAATTCCAATTGGTAACTTGCAGTTTGTTTCTTCTTCAAGCTCCACTGGTTCCCCCATGATTGCCAGTTCTTCATTAATTTCTATCTCCACTTCTGTAGACAATTCTTCACTTTTCATTGGTTTCTTCACGGCTGTCAGGCCTTCAATCTTCTCTATTTCCTCCGTTTGACAGGCACATGAAGTTCTCTTTGGCCTTTTGCTATTAGTTTCTTCCTTAACCTTCGCTGGTTCCTGCACAGATGGCAATTTTTCAACCACTACGGTTTCTGCTTTAGTAGGCACTTCTTCGATCTTCACTCGCTGTTCACTACTTTGTTCTTTTTCAGTTGTTTTATTTGTACTTTTCTCTTTCTTTTCTACTTTTTTAATTAATCGGGATTGGTCCATGTCTTTTGTTGTCTTGTTAACAATTTTCTTTGATGATCGCCTCATTTTTCCCTCCTTGTAATTTTGTCTATCTTCCGATGCATTTTTTTTGTTAATTTTGTTGCCTTTGCAGTTCATTTCCTTGCTCGATTGGCGATGGTTCTTTCGGTTTTCTTGAGTATTTATGCTATTTTTTTATAGTACCCAAGCACGTGTATGCGTTTCACGCTTTTCATTCTTTGCCTTTGCTTAGTCTTATGAAATTTATGGGATGACTACTATACTGAAATATTGAAATTTGTCGATCACCTGAAATGTTTGGAGCATCTTCTACTTATTCTTTTTTACATGTGTGTTCATTAATTTCTAACACAGTGAATATCTTTTTAGATGAATTATTTACTAGCTCACTTGATATATTTAAAATAAGCGTCGAATATTTATTTATTTCAAATGGCAGGCGTTATGATAGGTATCATTAGCCCTTTAGTTGACTTCCCGTTATGATAGGTATCATTATCCCTTTAGTTGACTTCGGGGTTTTCAAAAATATATTTATTTATTTCAAATGGCAGGCGTTATGATAGGTATCATTAGCCCTTTAGTTGACTTCGGGCTTCAGAGAAAAGAAGAGGAACATCAAAGGGGCAAAAAGTCGTGAGGGAGACAGAATAATGATTCACAGACGTAAAAGAGACAGACAGACAGACACAAAGGTAGAAAAAAGGTGAGGTGAGTACTGTGAAAGAAGTCGAATATGAAATGCTATGGGGTCTTGGTAGTTTGAAGTCAGAAGTCAACTGCCGTTTAATACACTTTTGCGTTACGTTTGAGTATACGTTGCCCAGGGTGCACCACGTGGAGGTAAGTCTATCGCACACCCCAGCGTCGAATATAGAGTACCAATATTTCATCTCTAACAATATCAATCGATTTATAGCATTTCACTTGTTCCACTAAGGATGCTGTGCAGGGAGCAAATGAGATCATGAGTACAGAGATCGATCAGTCGACTAGCGAGTAACATTCGTATCACGCAGTGTAGCCATGACTGAAACGTAGTTGCTAATCTTGGTGCAAGTGTACCATAAGTAGAGGTAGCTCTATCCAATATATACGTTCTATCTCCATTATTGCATGGAGTCAACTTGGCTCATCTCTGGAACACTTTTATTTTATGAGGCTTTACTAGATTTAATTATGGTACAACTCCTACAGGTTTTACTGGATATTTATGCTAAACGATTTAAATATTTATTGTATCCAATCTGTAATTGCAAATGAAGTAATCCTTTAAAGATTTGCATCAAAATCCTAGTTAAAGCTTAAAGAGTTAGATTAATTTAATGAAATATTATGATTATGAATGATTGGTGCATTAAAACAACACTAATTTTACCACCTACTTACAACAAACTGCACTCCTTTTGGAAATGAAAAACTGCTGGTAATATGAGTATTGGTTGCTGTATTGAAGACAGAGAAATAATCACATTTGGTATAAAATCCCAATAAGAGTGATGCCTTAACTTCTCAAAACAGACTTAGCCAAAAAAACGCTTGAATTTATTTGGTGTCTAGGGGTTTTGAAAAGCGCATATTTCGTTCACTCGATTTCTTTAGTACCATTTAGGAAACTTAATAACTTTTGGCTACAGCATCATGAAGCCTTTCTGGTGAGATGAACAAATTCTCTGCACCTTCCAAATGCATGGAGGAAAGAAGGAAAGAAAGAGACGAAAACTTTAATTATCAACTTGAAATAATCGGACTGACAAAATATATAAGCATAAGAGAAATCTAAAAGAAATAAAATAATACAATGCTTATACTATTACTAATACAATAGCTTTGAAGTGAATCTTCATCTTATCTGGCATATAGCAATATCTAAAATGTTTTAACTTTAATCGAAGCGTTTTACACTAAGCAATTTTTAGAAAATATTAATTCAAAAACTTCTTGATTTTCGTCTTTCCTCTAGCAAACCATGTTTATTATTAACTTCCTACTCACCGATATCTGTGAGGTTACTGTGCGGCTCTTTAACTCCTAATTTTATATCCACTTGATCATATTTCCACTAACTTTGTGGAAAAAGTGTTCTTACTCTATATTTAACCAGAGGTGATTAATAAACGAAATCAAAGTGTGCTCGAAGCACAACAATTCATACTGTAGCATCAGTTTCAAATCACAATAAATAATTTACAGCGAATCCGAAATAGCTCATGGTATATACCCTCGGATAGTCAAACGATAACCGATTAAATTATAAAATGGAAATCGAACAAAGTAGTATGTATCGTTGAATTTATTTTGAACCAATAATTTCCACCGTTTTCTGAACACTTACTACTTTAGCTAAACATTGAATTTAACAAAACTTATATTTTAGGGGCGGGGTATACTCATACGGCAAAAAAGTCTATAAACTGGCAGTTGACTTCTGACTTCAAACTCCCATGGCCCCACTGTATGTCATAGTCGACTACGTTCACAGTACTCACCTCATCTTTTTTCTACCCTCGCCTTTGAACACTCTTCTGTCCCCCCCCACCTCGACTTTCTTTCACTTTGATGTTCCTTCCTCTCTGTGAAGCCTGAAGTCAACTAAAGGGCTAATGATAACCATCAAAATGCCTGCCATTTGACATAAATAAATATTTTAGGGGCTATTGAAAACTCATACATATTTTATGATTTTAAAGGTAATGCTT